AAAGGATCAGGCAGGCGTGAGGTGAAATCAGCCTCTTCAAAGATTACCAGCCTAACGGTGCTTCTTGTGAAGCCTAAATGAGAGCACCATCTAAAGAGCCACGATGGACTCAAGAAACAAGAGTTGAATTCAAACATTCAGCCCCCGGGTGTGAGGGGGGGGAACACACAGCAGGGCCTCAACACTACCGGCTCCCGTCTGCGTTCAAACACAAGTCTTCACGTCTTGATAATGAGAATCATTCGTGTGCCATTCATGTATGAAACTGGTGCCCTTTGGTTGGACACCACTTTTAGTTTGGGGGTTGTGGAGCCTCAGTGGGCAGCACCGGATGGTTCGGGACCGGCCCTAGGTGGTGGTGAGGGGTCTTACAGAGGTCTGGGAGTTGAAGGGGGAGGGGCCATGCTGGAAGGGGTTGGGGCTGTGGCCCTCTGGCGTCGCTGGGGAGGTGCTGGGCCGCACGCGCCCCACCGGCTGGATCGCCCCGGGCCGGGTCTGGGAAGGAGGCAGAGGATACAACTCCATCAATTAAATGCCAGAGATACAAAAACTTGGATAAGATGAAAACTTAAAATGAATGGAATTAATGGTTAACAAGTCTGAATAATCAGTGGCGATTTTAGATTGAATGTAAAAAAAAGAAGAGTCACATAAGCACACTTGCAAAGCGTAGTCTTGTCTAAAACTCCATAAACACTCACTGATGATGAAGGGCTGTCCTTGGCAATGGGAGTGGAGGTGTAATGAATGTTTGCCTGCAAACAATATTTAAAAATTAAATGAATGAATAAACAAAAAAAATCTATCACAGCAAAATGAAACTGCATCCGTCAGCCGCATCTAATTGAAATTCGTTCAAAAGAGCAAACAGCTGCTCGGTTCTAATGGGGCTTCCTCAGGATGACGCCAAGCAAAGCGAGTACAAGTCAGACAGCAGAACACCAACGTCAGCTACAGTGATCACAAAACGAGCCCTTCGTCATGTCCTGATTTGTAAAAGTCGGTATTATATAATAATGAACAACTGATATTGTTCAGGAAAATCTCTGTTATTATCCTGGGAGAAAATATCAAGCGGGAGCCGGTCAGTAAGGCCTTCTAAAACACCCTGCTCCTCCAGTGAAAGCACATCCAGCATCAGTCACCAGCCGGCCACATGCTGGTCAGCCAGGATGGACTGAGGAAGCTCAGCCGTTTACGTTTTGTGGACAGAGAGGGCTCAGAGCAGCGGGTGCATCTGCTGAATCACAAGAGTCCAGGCCAGAGCAGAGGGGCCAGGAGCCCCACTTACAAAGCGGGTCTCCCTGCCTGCAGAGAGGGAGCTGTCAGACGAGTGGTGGCTGGGCTAAGCGGGGGAGGGAGGGTCAACAAGGTCAGCCGTGGACAGAACTCCTCTAAAAAGCTGGAAGTGACTTGTGGCGAGACTCAAATGAATCAAAAGATGGCGTGAGGACGGCCGGTGAACACTGGAGGAAAACGGGATGCGGGGGCTGCTCACCGGTTGGATTGTGGGAGAGTAAGGGGCCTCCCTGATTGGACTGTCTGTCCTGGTGTAGTCAGAGGAAGGTGCCTGGAAAAACACGGAATAGGAAACACATTAAATGGCTGTTTTATTATGGCCACAGAACATCAATCTTTCTTTAAAATGCTCACACTTGACAAAATTCACTGGTTAGTCATGAATGTTGTGAATCTATTTCCAGGCAAACTGAACTAGCTGGCTGGTCAACATGCTCTTTTCTGTGCGTCCCTCCTGACGTACGACCCTCTTCGCAGCTGCCGAGTCGACATTCCAGCCGATCCTGACAGCATATCGACAAGGTGCTTGAACACTTCATGAATACTTCAAAGGGTTTCACGAGCTGCCTGATTGAAGCGAAACATGCACCACTTCAGCTCTAACTCTTACACGCCCAACAGAGGAAAAGCTCTACGCATTAACTCAGCAGCAGGTCCTTTTTCTTCTTTTATTGACTTCCACTGACCGCCGCTGACCTGCTGATTACATTTTCTGTTAACTATTTTGTTGTTGTAGCTTTAGCTGTATGAAAAAAACAACAAAAAAAAACAAGAGAGGGGGTGTAAATGTTACAGTGAGCCGGACAAAGTGCACAGTAAACACAGCATGCTGCCTCCAAACCACACGCAGGCAGACGCCTTGCCTTGCTGAACAACCAGGGCTGCAGCTGGCCCTGTCGGCCATATCCCACCGGAGGCCCCGAAAGGATCCGCTCTCCGGGAGGAAGACCCTTTCCTCTGCGATTAGCCACCAGGAAGGGGTTCTCTTTGAAGCAGATAGGCTGCGAGTCCACCAGGCTTTCCTCCTCCTCTTCAGGAGTGAATGGTGACCCTAAATTTAGAGCACTGTCCGTGGAGGTGGAGGTGGAGGTTCCATTGGTGGAAAATTGAGATCCATGAAGATAGTCCTGTTCTGTGCTCAGAGGGGGGGTGAGGGGCTTGGTGGGTTGAGGCAAACCGAAACCTAGCGGCTCTAAAGGGGGTCCGTACTCAGCCTGCAGGGGGGCCTCCATGGGATCAGTCAGACTGACGGGATCAGAGAACTGAACAGGAGCAAAGGAAGAGGAGGACAGGTACTATAAACTGACTGGCAAAGTTGGGTCTGCCCAAACGCGCAGAAACACTACAGAAATTAACACAGAGAAGCTCAGAAAGCAGGTCTCCATCTTTAGACTAATCGACAGAAACAAGAGAAATGCGTCTGTTAGTCATTTCAAGGTGGCAAAAGCCTGAAATCTAGTGTGCGCTGACTTTAAATCCCCCTAAAAGGCTGTGAAGTAAAGCCAGCAGGAGGCTGCAGTAACCCATGGAAACACATAATGTCCATTCTGAGCTACTGTAGCAACATGAACCAAAATGGCTACTTTTCATGGGATTTTACACTTATTCACTCAGACCAAGTAAACAAAACTTAAATATAGCTAAACCCTAAAGAAAAGAGAACTATAAATTAGAGGAGAAATTCCCGTGTGACTTTGTGGATCTGGAAATAGAAACTCGACACAGTAACCTCCCACCACTGAATGGCTTTAAGATAAGTTTCCCAGCGCCCGTCATAGTGACTTCACTAGCTGTGAAGAGCTTCAGCCTCAGCCTAAAATAAAACTTTATCAGGGCGGAGAGGCGCTCAGGCGGGAGCACAGCCTCAGCTCCACTCAGACCATCCTTCATGCAGAAGATGGCTGCCGTCACGTGGGAGAAAATATGCAGAGGAACCACTTAGTCTGCAGCCTCTCACGAGGCATTTTTTAAACCTTGGGGGGGGGGGGGGGGGGCCCCACCCCACCCCCCTGGGGAATTTTCTTTCCGTGTTTTAACGTGACCTCTGCGATAATGGAAATAGCCTGACTCCAAATACAGCGAGCATTGTGCGGCTCTCCACATGCTGACTGGAAGAGTCGGTCAGTGGGATGGAATGTGAGCGAGTGCCCTTTTGGCACCGGCAGACCGTGAGGGACAGCTGGGCTTTTGGTAGAGAGCAAAGTCAGCCGGCATGCCAACGCTGTGAGCTGTCCGCAGCCGCGTGGGAAGAGCCACACGCCCACCAGGAACCGGCCTTTTGTTCGGAGGGCTTCGTGGAAAATAGCAGCAGCTCTCAGGCCACACGCTCATGTTGACAAGTCGGAGATTTAGCTCGGGTTCAAATATCTAAAGCTCTGAACTAGCATCCATGATTACTCTGCTCAGGCCTTCAGCGGTATCAGCACACAGTCTGATGTTGTGCTGGCCAAATATTTGCAATACTCAGACTCAAAGACTATTTCAATTTGTGGCGTTCTGTAAAATTCTGTCTGTTTCAGACATGTCTTTTTCAGGTAAATCTAATCTAATTTAGACCATACTTGGTTTAAGTGCTTTTCTTTAGTGAGCATTCGCTGATGATTTAATTTCTTTTTAAAGCTAAGAGAAAACCCCATTTGGCTACTAAGTTTTTGCTTCGTTTCCAACTAAATTATCTGGTCCTCAACTAATATTAACGGTGGTCTGAGGTTGACTCTTAGAAGGACCACGTGTGCCAGCTTTGGAGCAGCTGCCTCTGATATGTAGGTTAAACGCTGCCGCCTCGTCTCACAGGACGGGATCTGCTGCTCAAACCCACAGAAACAGCGGCTGGTCACAGACACCTCGGCCCGCATACACAGGCACTAACCCCAGCCTCACTAAACTGAAAAGCAACAACAGCATTTTTGTTAGAAGTCTTTCACTTTGTTTGGAAAATTCTATTTAGAAAGAAACAAAGTGCTATTTTTGATCGAGTAGAAATTCAGATACTGACAAAAAGAGTAAAGATAAGGGATGGTTAACTCACGGTGGGCTGGCAACAGGACGGCGTGGTATCTCCACTCTAACTACTCCACAGGGGACTGTGGGGACTCAAACTGAAACACTTGTCTGTTCCTCTCAGACAACCCCCCCCCACCCGTCTGCCGGGCACTCCACCCACCCAAAAGACAGCCCAACTCAGAGTCAGACGCAGGTTTAAAATATCACAGAGCAGAGGCTGGTTGATAGTGGACAGCTGTCCCCTTCCCCCACCTCCACAGCCCCCGGTCCCAGGCCTGTTCTTCCTTTCACGAACACTTTCTGCACAGCTTGTCCTGGATACCACTTCCACAACTTTTCTTCTGGACTCAGGACGGTTTTGGTCTCTCACACGGGATTCTTCTCTCATCTTCCATCTTTAAAAATCCCGGGCGGCCTCCTCCTGTTGGGTGGATTCGGCCTCTGAGAGGCGGCGTTGACTCGGGGTCGTGCACTTGCTCCACTTCGGGTCACTCGGCGTGTCCGGGGGGCACAAACACGACGGATTCCACGAGGATCTATTCTGAGCTTTGAAGGCCATTTCCAAACCACGACCACACACTAAATCCCAACTATTTACAATCCCAAAGCAGAGATTTTCCAAACACGCAGAAGAGGAGACTCGGTCAGTCGTTCAGTTAAAGCCGGTGGACAGCACACATCCAGGGAGACTCACCCTGTTGACCTTCTGCAGACTGGTGGTGGGCAGCGCAGCCAGGGTTTTGTAGTCAAGTTTTAAAGGTCCAGTGCCAAGATTCTAAGAAGAAAGAAAGAAAAGTCAGAAGATGGCTGGAAAAAGGATCATTTCACAACTGAACTAGTTTCACTAGTTACAAATCCTTTTTATTCACCCATTTTCCAGCCATGTGAGGGAGGCGAGAGCATAAATCAATCTCTACTAAAGCACAGCACCATTTTGTTTCGATGGCGTCTCTGGGGCTTCCTTCACGTCACAGCTGCTTGATGCTCAAAGCTGTGCACGTGCAGGGCTCAAAGAAGTGGTAAAAAACAACCAGAACTTGTTGATATCTAACCGAAGACTTCCAGCAAATCCAGTTCCTCATCGAAAGCCCCCCCCCCCCCCAGCACAGGTTCTGGGGTAATTTCAGACGCAGCCTCGCCTCTGTCTTCCACCCACCAACACACTCACACAGATCTGCAGATTAGTCCCACCTCATCAGTTAAGTGACAACTGGAAACGATTGAAGGGTTACTTTAAAGATTTGTTCTTTTTTTTTAGAGAAATCGTGTGACGCTAGTTCTGTGGTGTTAGTGGCTGAGCTAGAGGGCCGGCTCAGACAGCAAGTGTCTGAGCACCAGCCGATGAGGAGTTTCTCACCTCTGTCTCCTCTTCTAGCAGGCGAGTTGCCTCCTCACGCTCCAAGCGCATTCGCTCCTTCACAGTGAGAGGAAGGGGAGGAGTAGAGCCCAGAGGGGGAAACACCCAAACACACAGGGCCACACAGTAATGCCGTTTGCAGTGGAGGAGTGAAGGGAAAAGTAGAGGGAGGAAGAATGATCGGATGATTGTGCATCACACCAAACACACCGGAAGGAGAGGTGAGAGAAAAACAGGGGAAAGAAAGGATAGAATCCGCACACATTAGAAAGTACTCTATTCATGTTGCTATGGGAGCAGAAAAAGCATGCAAGGTGGGACATCGCAGGAACAATTCTGTCAAACACGATCCCCACACGGGGAGCAGAGGAGAAGCTTCATTCACCCAGTAACAGACGACCCAAGGCCCCCTCCTCCACTACCACGCTGACCATAGCAGACATGTCTCGGCTCCCGCTCTGCGCCGAGATACATTTTTACCTCCCGTGTCCCCTGAACAATGCTGACTTTTCAGGTTCACTCACCACTTTCTCCATCTCTTCTCGCTCCCACTGTGATGTCTCTCTTGCCATCTCAGACTCCTGAGGAAGAGATTTCAGATTGAAGGCCCTTTATAATGCTTTCAGATAGAAGGTCGGGGGGAAAAAAAAGGAAAAAAAAGAGACCAGCGCCAAACACGCAAACAGAACGGCTGGACTAAATAAACGAGTGCTGGGGCCGCTGTGGCTGAGAGTGAAACATGTGGTGTGCACGGCTTGGGCTCAAAGTGAACCGCTAGCCCCAAACTGCTGTGAAAGCACAGAGTTGGAGGGGCAGAACTGCTGAACAAATCGTTTGATTCATGCGTCGGCCCGAATGCCAGTGGGCTCTGTTTGGTTGAAGCTGAGATGTCCCGATGGACCAAACAAACGCATTCTTTGTGGGCATTGTGTTTCGGACACTGAATCTGATGAACGCCCGCGTCGGTGCATCCTTTACCTTCTGCATGATGTCCATCTCCTCTGGGCTCAGGTCTCGGTCTATAGAGGAGATGCTCTCCATGCTGTTCTTGCGTACGATGCCAGATGCAAACGGGTTGGCGATGATGCCGGGGGAAGCCTGGAAATAAGGCAGAGTTAAAACAGAACTCCTCACCGAGGAACAGGCTGGAAATCCCACATTAAAACAGCTGATGTCAATCATTTGTTTAACTGAAATATTTCACATGATATGATGGAAATCAAATAAAAAACAAATAATATTAAATGATAATTTTGGATTTGATTCAGATAACATCTGAGACCACATTCAATCACTAAGTGGAAAACATCAGCCGGCCTCCTTCGGTCATATCCTACATATTCCTTCCCTCTCATTCGCGCTGCTCTTGGCGTCTCACCTCCACGGCGGCCACCTTGCGCGGGTCGAAGCCATCGCACACCAGCATGACCAGAGCGTCCCCGACGGCGCGCAGCACCCGCACCGCCTCCGTGTGGGTCATCCCCAGCAGGCTGTGGTTGTTCACCTCCAGGATGCGCATGCCCACCTGCAGTCTTCCATCTCTGGCCGCCGCTCCGGTCGAACTCACCTGAGGATCAACGGTTCATCAGTCAGGCAGCTAAAGCAGCGGGACGAGCTTCCAAAGGAATCATCGTGCTGGTTTAGGAACCTTAGAGATGAAGATGCCCTCGTCCGTGGGGTCAAAGGGGTTTCCGGCGTGACCTTTGGCCCCTCCGCGAATGCTAATGCCCAGCTTCTCCCCTGGCTGCTTCTGGATCAGGACCTCCTGCATGCCTGGGGGTGAGGGGTCCCTCCGCACCAGCATGCGGATCTCCTGCTTGTTGGCCAGCAGGGCCCGCACGGCTTCCTGGTGGGTGGCGTGCCGCAGGTCGATGGAGTTCACCTCCAGTATCCGGTCTCCCACACGCAGTCCGCTTTGAGACGCCAGGCCGTGAGGAATCACCTGGGGAGGCCAAGCACCGACAGTGAGACCGATGCAAGGAAACCCCAAAGAGTACGGCATACAAAAAAAAAAAAAAAAAA